GGGCATGGCGAAGAAGCGAGCAGCTGCTCACACCACACCCGCTGCTGGGCGGTGCACAGGCTGCTGCCCACCCCTCGCAGGGGACAGGGCTGCTGAGCAGGTACATGAGTCAGGAGCCTGTCCCTGCCTCCTGGGCTACCTGTCAGCATCCACACCAGCCTTCCTGCTTGTGCTATTCTGGGCCCTGGGGACAGAGGGGCGAGCCAGGCCCCTGCCTTCCTGCCAGGTTCCAAGGAGGCTGCTCAAACACAGCTGCAAGGGCTCAGGAAAAGCCCACCTGAGATGCGCAACGAAGACCAAAAACCCAAACTTTTCCTGTTCTGCCATCACGTGTGGCCTAATCAAGCCCTACCACCAGCCAGGGAGGAATTGGAGAAGTCTCCTGTCACCGGAGCCATCCCCTCCCCCACACAGAGGGAGAAGGACCAGATTCCCCGAGCACAAGTCCAGAGGAGGCTGGTGAGGGCAGCCCCACCCTGCCCCGGGCCCCTGCTGCCAGCACGTGGTCCCCAGCCTTGGACTCAGGAACCAATTGTTGAGTAAACATACAGGTTAATAGAAAGAATAATGTCTTTCTATTAAGAGAAGCTGAAGTAAAGTATGGCGATGTTATTTATTTTAAAATACGTAGCTAATAAAATAAAATACATAGTTCAATGTCTAGGCCCTGAAAACCTTCTCAAGCTTCGCAGATGAAAGAGGAAGAAGCCAGCTTATTTGGACCGTGGTGACTCAAGTTTGTCCGTGCTTGTTGATGGGACCAATGTCCAAACACAGGAAACTGCCAGGGGAGATGGGAGTAGGGACAGGGAAAGACCTGCAGTAGTTATTCGGACCCAAGAGACATCTGCTCCTGGCTCAAGCTCAGTGAAGTCACAGAAGATCACAGAATGATCTGGTCTCAGTTTCAGAAGAGAGCCATGGACTGGAGTGTGTCCTAGACACGGGGCTGCCTGCAGAAGAGCAACCTCAGAACGCGTGAGCTCCAAGCACTTGGCCCTCGGTGAGCTTTCCTTGAAAACTACACAGATTGAACTGAAAGGGAACTCGGTCCCTCAAAAGAGGTTTGGAGGCCAGTGTCTGAATCCCAGCAGTATCTTGAAATCACTGGCTAAATGGCCAAATTTAGGGCACTGCTCGGGCCCCTGTGACTACACAGAAATTAAAAAACTGCAGCCGTCCATACATACATGTTTTTTCTATACATACATACCTAGGATAAAGTTTAATTTATAAATTAGACATAGTAAGAGATTAACAATAATTAAAAATAAAACAATCATAACATACTATAATAAAAGTTATATGAATGTGCTTTCTCAGCAAACCACAGATTTTTTTTCCTTTTTCACAGTTTCACAGAGAGAACATTCATTCTTATCATAGATCTTAGCAACCTCAGCATATAATTTTTTTTCTTTCCTTAACAAGTTGAGAATTTTCACTTTAAGGAAACACTTTACGGCTTCTCTTTGGCATATCTGAATTGGCAACTTCACTACTCTTGCACTTTGGGGCCATTGTTAAGTGAAATAAAGATGAGTTGAACACCGGCACTGTGATACCTCGACAGTCGATCTGATAATGGAGACAGCTACTGAGTGACTCGCAGGCGGGGAGTGTGAACAGCATGGAGAGGCTGGACGAAGGGATGATTCGCAGACCAGATGGGTCAGAGTGGGAGGGTGTGAGATTTCATCACACTACTTAGAACGGCTCACAATCTAAAACGTATGAATTGTTTATTTCGGGAATTTCCCATTTAATATTTTCAGACCATGGTTGACCGTGGGTAATTGAGACTGAGGAAAAGGAAACCATGGATGAGGGGGGCAACTGCCACAGAGGTTGTGCCTGCTTAGAGTGCAGCTGGGTGTGTGTGTGAATGTGACTCAGTGGCCTAGTGACAGGCAACAGGGAAGTCTGTGACATGTGTGTGTCTGTGCCCCTAGGCCCATGGAGAGACTGCCTGCAGGCCCTGGAGGATGGCCACGACACCAGCTCCATCTACCTGGTGAAGCCGGAGAACACCAACCGTCTCATGCAGGTGTGGTGTGACCAGCGGCACGACCCCGGGGGCTGGACCGTCATCCAGAGGCGCCTGGACGGCTCTGTCAACTTCTTCAGGAACTGGGAGACGTACAAGGTGAGGACCTCAGGGCCTATCTGTGCTGCCCACAAAAAGATCCCCCTCAAGGAGGAACCAGTGAAGGAGCCACTCAGAGGCAGGTGCCTGCTGACCTGTTGGAGCCTGTGCAGCCCCAAACAGTAAACACCTGAAGCAAGAAGGACACTGACAGGGCCATTTCTGCAGACCCACCAGGGCCAGTGGCTCCTTCCCACCCGCAATTCACAACTGCTGGGAGGCAAGAGACCGGAGTCCCAACCACAAAGCCCACAGATGGGTGAAAGGGCCCCTCACTCCAGCCTGGGTGTGGGAAGCAGCTCACTCCCAGCTGGGACTTCCTTGGGGGAAGATGTGTTTACACAGCCCAGGGGGACAAGTCCCAGTTCCCAGGCAGCTGAATCTCATCCTCACAGTAGGAAGGCTGCTAGGACTCAGGGTACCTCTCCCTCCCTCCTCTAAACAAGGAGGTGCTATGGACAGCCAGAGCGGCTTGGTTTACTGGGTGCCCACCACGTGCCAGGCACCACCCGAGTGCTTCCATTTAGTACCTCATTTCATCTCACATCAGCCCTAGGAGGCACATACTGGTAATGACCCAGTTTACAGATGAAAAAGTGAAATAACTCACTCAGCTGGCAGGTGGCAGAGCAGTGACCAGAGCCTAGGCCTCTGACACCAAAGCCTACACACCCCCTTGGCCAGGACGCCTGCCTATGGCTCCGCTGTGCCCCTTCCTGTCCTGGCTGCCCTCCAACCCACCTCCTGACCTTGGCCTTCTCCTCTTTCTCCTCACGGGAGGTCCCTGAAGACACTCCCTCACCCTTTCCTCCTCCTTTCTGTATTCTCTTTCTCACAGGCAGCAGAGCACAATGGTAAAACTGGGTTCTGGGTTCAAATCCTACCTCTCCAGCGCTCTGTGACACTGGCCTCTCTGGACTTTAGTAGTTCGCACATTCTAGGGAGGACAATGATAGCATCTAGCTCTTAAGAGCTCGTAGGAGGAGTAATAAAATATTCTATGTAAAGCTCTGATAACAGTACCAGTACAGCATTAAACACTGTTATTACTATTATTATTAATGAATCCATCTATTTTCAAGACTTCAGTGGCCACAACTCAGCTGAGGACTCCCCAAACTACATGTAAACACAATAAAAAAGCCACTGGGTTTTAGACCTAAGAGGGAGCCCAGGTGGATGTGGCACATGCTTGTCACAGCTCACCCCTGGCTGTGCTTTAGAGTTTGCATGACCCTCTCACACAGCCACTCCTGAGAAGGAAACTGAAGCTCAGAGAAGGGCAGAGACTTGTCCAAGGAGCCCTTGTTGCATGCCTGCTGTAAGCTGGGCTCTCCATTTACCGCATCCCCTATATCCCTGCACAGCTGTGTGGGGAAGGAACATAGCATCCCCTGTGTACACACAATGCCTAGCACGAAGCAGGCACTCTCTACATGGTCTTGATGATGCATGACTGAGGCTCAGAAAGATAAAGTGACTCATCAAGTCACAGCCAAGCAGATCAGTGGGGATTTGAGCCCAGGCCCCTCTGTCCAGGGCTGTGCATGTGAGCCAGGCCCATCGGCCAAGGGCACTGCATATTCCTAATGCTCTCCTGCGTTTCCCCCAGCAAGGGTTTGGGAACATTGATGGCGAGTACTGGCTGGGCCTGGAGAACATTTACTGGCTGACGAACCAAGGCAACTACAAACTGCTGGTGACCATGGAGGACTGGTCTGGCCGCAAGGTCTTTGCAGAATATGCCAGCTTCCGCCTGGAACCTGAGAGCGAGTATTACAAGCTGCGGCTGGGGCGCTACCATGGCAACGCTGGAGACTCCTTCACCTGGCACAACGGCAAGCAGTTCACCACCCTGGACAGAGACCATGATGTCTACACAGGTAGGGCCAGTGGCATCAAACCCAGGTGGAGTGCAGAGAAAAGAGGTCAACCAAAGCCCTGAGAATGGGAAGATCCCAGGGCCCAGCTGCCTGACCCTGTCCCTGCCCTCGAAGGTCCACTCCTCGGTCCAATCCTCCGCCCACTGCACACAGACCCCCTTTGCAAAGCTGGGTAAGAGTGGCATTTACAAAAGGTAAAGGTAAAGGTAAAGAGATGTACAAATCACATACTTGATGAATAGTCTAGGTGCACTCGCATCGCCTCTCTGCCTGAGGCACCAAGTGCCAGGAATGCACATCCCTGTGGACTCCGGGCCACACGCCCTGGAATACAAAGCTGGCCCCACCTGTTACCAGTCATGTGTCCTTGGGCATCTCTAGGCCTCAGTCTCCACATGTGGAAGTGAAGACCATACCTACCTTGCAGGGTGGTGAGAAAGTTAGAAGTACTTTGTCTGAGATTCAGCAGTCAGGGCTAGACCCAGTGGGCTCTATGGTTATTGCTTTAGCCCCACTGCTCATGTGGTGCTGCAAGGGCGCCAGCGAGAGAAACTAGGCAAGAGAGGTGAAGTGGTGTGTCCAAGGTCACATGCCTCACACCCAGGTCTTTACTAAGAAGTCTTTATTAGAGTAAAAAAAATAAAAAGCAAGGGAAAAAATTATAAGCGCATACTCACCCCCCTACCCTGCCCCCGTTAATGCCTCCCAAGGCCCCACACTCAATTTCTTGAGCTGAGGCCCTAGATGGCTGGCAGGTCAGCAAGGTGCAGCTCCTCCCTGAGGGGCTAACCTGCCTCCAGGCCAAGGCTGTCTGTTCTCATGGGTAAACCTGGTCCCCTCCCGCCCCAGCTCCCCATTTAGTCCTGGTCCAAAGGCTACGCCCTCCCCTTTGAGGACTGTCCCAGGAACCACCTGCACTTCAGGTAAGCTCTGCTGCCTGCATACTGAGGAGGGAGGTCCTCGCTCCAGGTTCCCATGGCAGCCACGCTCAAGCAGGCCATCCTCACAACATTAGGGGACGTGTAGAGACCTCCACCGGCATACTGGTGGGAGGGAAGCAAGATGACCCTCGGAGCTGGTCAGGCCCTGGGAACATAGGGGCTGGTACAGCATTCTTGAGAGCCATCACGGGGAGCACGGAGAAGACTGTTCTATGAGCCCACCTGTCAGGCCTGGCCCACAGCACGGTCAGTAGACAGTGAGGAGGTGAGCTCCTGGTCCCCGGAGGTGCTCAGAGCAAGCTTAGGAGGGGCCTCTATGGGCAGATGGGAGGCTAGCTGTTAGCCAAGGACTCTCTTTTCTCCAAATGCAGCACTGCCACTTGGGCCTTGTAGCTTCAAGGCATGGCCCAGAGGAACCCGAGAAACATGCTGAGAAAGCTGGGCTGCTGGGGCTCTGAAGTGCAGGGGCTGAGTCTCCCCTCAGCTTTCTGCCTCAGCCAGCCTGCTCCCTCCTCACCTCGTCCCAAGGCCTCGGCCAGCCCCATCAGGCCCCAAACCCATACACTTGCCTGGAGCAGCCCTTCTCCTGAGTGGGGCCTGCTTCCTGGGCCTGATCAGAAAACTGAGGAACCCCTCTTTTACCTAAGAGCAGCCCAAGTGGGCAGTGGCTCCTCTTACCCCTCCCTCCTGTGAAACGCAGTGCCCCTGCACGCACCTTGCCCACACTTTCCAAACTGCTTGTCCTTGGCAGGAAAATCCAGAATGATACAACAGTGCCAAAAGTTTCATAAAAATATCTTTCTTTTATGAAACAAAAAAAGTATATAGTTGGCTGGAATTCAGGCTGGGGAGGAATAGAGGAGGGTTTTCTCTTAAATATTTCCTTTGTCATTCTATGAAGACTTTTGATCCAACAGTTTCAACTCTTCAAAACAACAACAAAAAACCCTTTAGCCTCTCCCTCGCCCACCTCAGGTCATTTGCATTTTCTGTTCAGACCTGTGGCGTGGAGCCGTCCCTGCACTTCCTCTGCACCGAGCCCTGAGCTAAGTGCTTAAATCTGTGCCCTCACTCACTCCCGCAGCAGCCCAGTGTGGCAGGTGTGTATGCTCAGTTTACAATGAGAATCCAGTGGCTCAGTGAGGTTAAGTCACTTGCCCGAGATCATGCTGCTTATTAGTCAGAGGCCAAGCTTCAAAGACAGGTCTGAGCAGGTCTGCAGCCTGGTCCCCCTCTCAAGCATTCTTGCTCCAAAGGCACCCCAGGGAGGGTCCTGCTCAAGTCCCCAAGTAAACAGCGGACACAAGTAAAGCTGCCTCCTTCCCGAGACCTTCTCACCACCTTCTCTCCTGCAGGAAACTGCGCCCACTACCAGAAGGGAGGCTGGTGGTATAACGCCTGCGCCCACTCCAACCTCAATGGGGTCTGGTACCGTGGGGGCCATTACCGAAGCCGCTACCAGGATGGAGTCTACTGGGCTGAGTTCCGAGGAGGCTCCTACTCGCTCAAGAAAGTGGTGATGATGATCCGGCCCAATCCCAACACCTTCCACTAAGCCAGCTCCCCTCCTGACCTCTCGGGCCTTCGCCAGGAGCCTGCCCCCGCTCGCGGGCCCAGCACACAAAGCAACTCCTCCCCAGTTCACCTGGGCCAGGAGGACTGGAATGCTGGATTCCGTTTCCCCAAGTCACCGCGGCAGATGATGGAACTGACTATACAGTATTCTCTGTCCCTACCACTCTTCTTCACACCAGACAGCCCCTCGTGTTCCAGACAGGACGGGACTGCAGACCAGTCCTTCTTTAAATAAATTAAGTCCCTACAATAAAAACACAGCTGCAAAATACCTTCATAATATATGTGTATGAGCTGACCTTGTACACTTAGGTGTATGCCACACATATGCATTTAGATATATGGCACGTGCAATATATCTAGATACATATACAAGTTTGCCTTATATACCTTAATACACATATATTCAATTCTCGCGTGTTGAAGCTCCTACCAACAGCATGGCTCCTGGGAGGAAAGCATTTCCTTATGTGGTGTTACTTGAGTCTAAGAGCAGATCACAGACTGCACAGCTGGTTCAGAGCTCAGTCCTGGCGTCTGTGTGCCTGAGTGCTTCCTGGAATGTCGGCAACACTGCTCTCTCACACTGGGGTTTCCAACTGAAGAGCCCTTTTGGGCACCTAACCAAATTTCAAAATCCCCTCTATCTCCATTTCTATACTCCACCCATTCTCAGGACTTCCACCGTGCATCCATCCATCCGTCCATCGGCTTAATCATTCATTCAACGCCGTTCAGTGCATGCCTTGTGTGTCACTCCTTGGCCACTCACTCTACTTCCAGGCACCTTTCTGCTCTCCTCTTCTCCATGCCTACCTTCTCCTTGCCTTTTCTGTCGCACCGTCCTCTCTTTCTAGGCACGATTCCTTTGCCTCTGAGTAGGAGACATTCCAGGCTCCAGATTTCTGGCCAGGAAAGGGAAGACCAGGCCCAAGGCTAATAACCAGCCACATAGATATTGTATTCGCAGTTTTGTATTTTCCATTCACACTTTAGCCTACATGTCATTTTAATCATCATAGGAATAATAACCTACCTTGCCCAGGAGATAGACCATTGAAGACAAGTCATTATCTGATCATTGGGAGATCAGTGGTTACAGAACAAAGGTGCCATGCTCTCAGGCCAACTAGAGTCCACATCTCATCCCCAAACTACACCTCCTCGGAGAATGCAGGTGCCACGAAGATGAGAACTGGCCACTTCTTGTGAGTTACTAACTAGGGCTGCCGGCCCTCTTGTTTATTGCATCACAGTGAGGTGGCCTTCCAAGTCCTCTTGGCTATAAAGTGTAAGACTCAGTACTACCAGAACTATTGCCAAACAGGGGGCAAGAGATGAGTCAAGGTGAGACCCTCCCAGTGGGCAAGTGGGTCGGGGGGTGCGAGACATTGGAATATTTGGTACTGTCCATGTCTGGGTGTGTGCCTATTACCTCAGCATTCTCACAAAGTATACCATGTAGCATGTTTTGTGTATATAAAAGGGAGGGTTTTTTAATATATTCCCAGATTATCCTTGTAATGGCACAAATCTGCAATAAAAGCCATCAGTGCTATTTGGATGTATTCACACTGTGTGTCATTGTTTGTGACTGCCTTCCTGGGACCTCCTATACCAGAGCCTCTGTAAGTAAAACAAGGAAGAGATTCAGCATGAGGGACACACACCAAAGTCATTTAAATCACACACTCCCTGTTTTTGGTTTCCACTTATGCCCCAGGAGTCCCAGGACAGTAGCTCAGTCCAAGACGGTCCTCTGATGCTCCACCTCCTTATATCTGTCTTGTCCTGGACATCCTGGAGACCCCTCGCAGGCAGTGTGGTCAACACCTAACACCTTCCTCCTGGGGTGGAGTGTGTGGCACGGAAGGGTCAACAGCAAAGGAAAGCAGGGTCCAACCTTACCCGTCACTGGTCTTGGGTCCAAACCCCAAAGCACAGAGCTCTGAGAAGCCATGTTGGACAAGATGGAGCCACCCTTTTTCTAAACTAGTTGGCATCTAAGCAAAAGCAGGCTGTGACACCAGCTATTTCTCCCAACCCCACGCCAATACCCAAATCTGAGTCTTAAACAATACCGTGGCTATATGGAAGGAGAGGAAGGAATAAGCCCATCAGAGATGTGGAACCCACTCTCCTTAGAGCAAAATGGGGAGGCGGAGGCACAGCTTACCAAACCAACAGCACCAAAGGAGAGAGTAAGGAGACGAGAGAGTGTACTCAAGTGCACTGGCCTTAGTGCCCAGTGAACTGCTCCCCCCACCAGCGAACACAGCCAGTCAGCACCCCTGCATCTGACTAGTGCACGTCAATAATGCTCCTCCTTGTCCATCCTGCTCAGGGGCCTTTAGGGCCTCCAATCATAGGAGTCCTACTGGTACTAAGATCTCCACCGTGAGTGCACCTGCAGGCCCAGAAGGAAGTTGGTGAAACACTGCCAAACCCCCGTGCCCCAGTTTGGGTCAAGACCTTAGTCACTGGAGGGAACCCACTTGCCGGGCTTGTGTGGGGAACGTGGCAGGAAGACAGTGATGCTGTCGAAGCCTGTGACACTGACAGGATCCCCCCTCCCCCAAATCTTGCCAATTTGAGCAAGACTGAAAGAGAAACTTGAATTACAGAAAACAATGTTTATGCGTGTCTACAGTTCTCATAACCCACAGATGCTTTTGGGAGCTCAAGGGGTCTTCCATGATCTCCCAAGGCCACCTCATCTGTTTCACACAGTCTTGTAAACACTCCTGGTTACCTAAGAGAAAGCCAGACAACTGGATTAAACGAAACAGGGGACATTTTAAATGTAACAAAATGTTAAACATGCACTCTTTCTGCCTCGGGTTTATCTAGACTCCTAAAGCTAGTACTCCACATTGGAGAGCAGGCACAAACCATCCCTGCAGGGCATGGCCCCAGGCTGGCTCTGCAGCGTCGGGCACATTGCCCCCTGCAGCCTGTGACAGAAGTGAAGAAAAATGTCCTGGGGGATGAGGGGGGGATCAGTCATCCCCCACCACCACAGGGAGGGAGGGTGTCCCCCTCACCCTAAATCAAGTGAGGGGGACTTCAAGAGTTCAGCATGAGCATGACCATCTGACTCATGCCTCAAGTCCACAGGCCTGAGGCAGACAATGGGTGAAAAACTGACCTCACTGGGAGCAAACAGCAAGCCCACTGATGGGGGAAAGGGAGGCAAGGACACAGGTCTCTTAGGAACCAGAGGGAAGCCTGGGTGGGGGATGGGATGGGCACAGTGCAGGAGGCCTAGGAGCCAACGAGGAGTTGTAACTGCACAGCTGAAGGGAGGCATTACCCCTCCAGGCAGCTGAGTCAGTGGTGCCCAGAAAGGAAACTCTGAAGCAGCAGTAGCAAAGAGGGAAGACAGAGTGGTCACAAGTTCTGGATAACTACCGAACTGGCAACTAAAGATGGCCCTGACCCCTTACTTCTCCCTCAGCCCCAGGGCCACCCACACGGTGAGGCGAGCGAGTAGGGGAAGACGCTGCCCTGTGCCCTCCCCCACCCCAGGCCTACGAGCCCAGTCTGGCTTTAGGCGTCCAGACTTCTCGTTAAGACACGGGACTATCTAGAATGACGTGATTGTTAGGATGTGACTGTTAGATCATATCCTCTGCGCACACAGGAGGCAACAACTGGCTTTTTTCGTGCCCGACAGCAGAGAGATGAAGGGGCCTGCTAAGTTTTAGCATCAATTGGGAGTAAAACTAGTCCACAGAGTAGGCTGGGAGGGACACTGGGGAAAAAATAAAGTTGGTTTCTTCTTACACCTGAGTCCAGCTCATTTAATAAGTTGGTTACGTAAGGATAAGAGGTATCTCCCTGAGTCCATGAGCAGGGATGCAGCCAGGCCTCACCAGGGCCAGGAACCAGAAACTGCCTGGAAGGCCTTCAAGAGGCAAAGCAGCAGCTTTCTCCTCTCCTTTCCCTTTCCCCTTCCTTGCCTGCAGGGTCTCTTTCTGTTTCTCACTGTGCGTCCATCTGCTTTTCCCAGCACGGAATTCCTGAGCTCACATGTCCTCCTGGTCCAAGTGCCAGCAGACTTACAAGCGTCTCTCCACTCCAACGCAAACTCCGTCCAGGGGATCCGACTGGCTCCTCGGAGTGGGTGCTGCCTCAATCCTATCAACTCGGCCTCAGCACAGAGTGGATGAAATGAGCATGGCTGTTGGAGCTCAATGCTGTGGGAGAGGTAGGGGAGGTCCCAGGTTCCCAGAAAAGGAGGGATCATGGGCTGGGTCTATATCCAAAAGTGTCTAGACTATACTCCAACTCTTGTTGGTCCCCACTCTCTTCAGGGACCGTGTATTGCCAGCTAGATGAATTCTGTCCCACTACTGGTTAGATTGTGTCCTATTCCCCAGCCTCCACTGCTGATCCCAGCCCTACCCCAGGAAACATATCCAACCGTTCTAGGCCCAGCTGGGTCACTAAGCATGACACCTGTCTGTGCCCTGACAGGGCTCTTCCTGCCCTTCCTGTGGATTAGTCTCTGTGAGTTAGTCTCAGGTCCCCACTGTGGGGGTCTTCTTGGCAGCGTTTTGCTCTAGAGAACACTCATACCATCTACCATCTGTGGGGCACCACGTGTGTCTCTTTAAACTCTTACAACAGCCCTATGAGGTGGGTTCTACATTTTTCCTCCTTTTCACAACAGAAATTGAGGCTCAGAGATGTAAGTAACTTGCCCAAGGGCATGCCGCCTAGGATGCTCAGGATTTGGGTTCCTCTGTCACCCATTATCACCCCCTAGTATGTCTAAGAATCTTGGCGACACAGAGCCTCCTGCCCACAGGAGTGGGTGTGAGGCAGCCGGCCAGCCTGGCTGTGTAGAAGCAGCTGGATGGATGGTGGGTCCCCAGATGTCAGAAAGCCAGTTCAGGGCTATTTGCCCAATTTATTTCAGAGCAATAGGCAGGGCACAGGATAATAGAAAGCAATGACAGAGAGTATTCCACAGCTTCTTGGGGTTTCCAACCCTTTGCCAGGGCTAAAGCTGTTGGGCCCTACTGCTCTCCCTTCATCTTGTAGGAGAAGAGAGCCACTTGTTCTACAACCTACAGCCCCAGCCCTGCCTTTAGGCATTGATAGTGTCCCACTGGCTGTAGCATTGTGCACCAGTTCTACCTGGTACAGTCCTGGTCCACATGCTCTGCTAACTGGGTCCCTGATGTGGTGGCTCATCTCCCATCTCCATGCTTTCAGGCCTGGGCTTGCTGACCTCTCAGGTCCCAGAGTCAGACCTGAGCCATCCCCAGCCTGGTAGTCGCCACTTAGTGTGGACACAGTACCTTAGTACCAACCATTGCCAAGACATTCAAGTGTCCTGTCTCTCCTGACTTGGGCATCCTGGGGCAGCTCAGCCCACACATGGAAACCCAGACAGAGGTAATCCCACCCATCTGTGCAGCCTTCCCAAAACACTTCCACAAGCAGCACCTCCAGGGTGGGCGGGCCATCTGGCTGTCCCATCCCCGCTCGTCGATGGTCATGCTACATCTGGCTCCATGGGCTGGTCAAGGGGTGCTCCCTTTGCCCCTCCTTCAGCACAGGAACCCTCTGAGGGACAGCTCATGATAGAATAAGAGAGCTCCCTGGACAAGGGGGGACAGGCCACATTTGCCCTGACCCTTAGCAGAGCTGGGAGTGGCCCAGAGCCTGGAGGGGTAGCTAATGCAGAGGGGAGGGAATTAGAATTTCCTTCTGGGGCTCTGTGATGACACAGGCCAACGCCCTAGTCATTTCAAATTGGGGGGAAAATTAGGAGAAGCATGCAGCCTCCTGGAGCCCAGAATGCTGAGGAAGCCCCAGGCAAGTGTGCCCGGGGAATGGATTTCTGTCAGCCTCCTCTCAGCACAAACCAACAGCCAGGCAGCCTTTCCTCACTGATGGGCGCAAAGCAGGGCTGTGCCGGGACACAGGAAGGGGGATTAAGGACAGATATTCAGGACACAGAAGCAAGAGCAAGGGCGGCTAAGCAGCTGGGTGGGAGGCCTGAAGGCCTGGCTGCCTAACCCTGGGCCCAGGACAGCCCAGGGAACATGTGTTTGAAGTAAAAAAGCAGCTTCTCTTCCAAGAGCACAAAGAATTGGTGGGGAGAGAAATGTGTTTTAAAACAAGATGCTCTCTTTCACCTATCACTTTATTATTGTTTGTTTGGAGAGAGAGGTGAGGGTAGACATCAATTTGCTGTTCCATTTATTTATACATTCATTGATTGTTTCTTGTATGTGCCCTGACCAGGGATGGAACCCGCAACTGTGGCATATTGGGAAGACGCTCTAACTGACTGGGCCAGGGCTTGCCTATCATCTTATCATAAATGAAAATGGCTGGTAACATCTCAAGCTGGTGAGAGTACAGAACAAGGCTTGCTCACAGTTTTGCTGGAAACGTCTCTGCAACCCTCCCAAGGGCACTCCAGTGGGAGCTGTCAGAACAACATGTGATGTGTCTCTGTCCCAGCAATTCTACTCCTGGCCCCCAGTGTGTCAGAAATACTCTGGCAGGCGAGTAAAGATACATGTACAAGGATGCTCCCCACTGCACA